ATTCGGACACGCTGATACGGTCCTAGTCCACTACAAATGCAACCTCAGTTTGTGCAACTATTTATTTTTTATTTTGCTTGTTTTCTCTTTGCTTGCCTGGTTATCCGCTCAAATTCATTTGCCTAATTTGTCTCCCTCCTACATATAATATGTGGTAAAGCGAGCGCTTTGTTTATGCGAAAGTGGCTGTTGTAGTTGCTCGCCATCCTCCAGATGTGGGCTGATGTTTGGTACGACGTCCAGGCAGCACCATTCGGTTGCGCCGCACTTATGTGCGTTTGTGCTTTCATCACTTGCTCCATTAGCAAGAGTGTTTGTCCCCCGCTGGTGTTTCAGTGGATGGCTTTTAATTCCAGAAATATATGGAAATGCACTACTGTTGACTGTCTCCCGCATTTGGTTATTGATTTTTTCGATAGTCTCACCGATAAGGTATTGCGCTCTTTGTTGTTTAAAAGTGAAGGAAATGGCCTGAAAATGCCTTTGCGGCACCAATGGATTACGTCGAATCGCAAAGCTGTCACCAACTTCTTAATAGGGCCCGACCTCCGCTGAGTCATCCAGTCAACTGAACTTTCCTTTCTCCAAATACCTTCTATCATCCCATAACACCGGTATTTCCCACCAAAGCATGTAGGCTTATTTGGTCATATCTGGTAGAACCGACAGAAATCATTCAGCGGCTGAGAACCTGTGATACCACTTCAGTTGAAGTGGCACTTCTCTGCCATCTTAAAGTCATTTTTGTTTTCCCTGAGAATCTGCCTTAATCCTTTATCGTCGGTTCGCCTGCTCTCATCGTACAAACCACCCTCCATATCAAGAGAGCTTTTCTGGTGGGAGGTTGACTGGGGCTGGCGATTACTGACACCCCATGACTAATCCGGTCGTGTAATCCTGTGGATAGTTTTCTTGGCTCCGTAGCGCATCAGCCAATCTGCAGCATGGTGAAATCGCATTCGCTGTTTATATTTTGGCTTTGCACCGACTGGTCAACCGAGGCTCTCCTGAATCCATGATATAACTCTTTTATCGTCACTGCTATTATATTCAGTCAGTATCTGAGTGGATCCACCTTTGCCTGGGGGCAATCAGCCGCACAGTACTTTTATCTGCAAGACCTTCAAGTGTGGAGTAAATTTTTTTCGCTAGTGTTGTATTTTGTAACGTATATGCTTAAACCAAAAAGCATCCTTATCTATGCTAATATTTTGGCAGCTCACCAAATTTCATTGTCTACTGAAGCAATCGTACCTCTGGCGAAAAAGCCTGAGACCTCTGCATTACTGAGACCTCGGGATGCCAAAACGGGGCTCAAACGTTTGGACTGGTACCTTGATCTCAATTATTAATTGTTTAGTCTATCAGGGACACCTTATAGCTTTAGAAAATTCAATTATATTGTGTGAAAACTGAGCACTTTCACCTGGAAAATACACCTCTGCCGGTTAGTTTCACCCGGTTGTATTATATTAGTTTCATATTCACGAACTCTAACACTCCCGGATTACTAGGACAGCAAATATAAATTTACACCCACTTATACTGATTAGACAATCCGCTAAGATTCCTTTAGCCGTGCTGTACTTTTAGTCCTTTCCGAATAAATTCAGTGACGCAGAATAACGCGCCCAACACAGTCGGCTTCATCGGCCACGTGCAATTTGTCCATTTACGGGGATCCCATCTTAGCTGCAGTTAACGCGTCGTTCCCATCGCTGTCCAGCTCACTTTTCATCCACATGGGTCTTTAAATGGTCTGATGCTACCGTGATTCTGCCTGACATTCCCCGCGTTGATCGAGTTGACGAGCGCAGGAACATCGCCTTACCAGTCAACTGGCAGTGAATGCATTCTTTTGGTAGCCACCAACACCGAAGTATGTCGCTGCAATGTTGGGAGAAGAGCTTTATCCCCTCTGATGGCATTACCGAAACTATCTGCTTCACACCCTCGACCATGACCACGCATGTCCTTCTTGAGACGACAAAAAATGCTTTAGTGGAATTGGCTGCCACTACGGGGATGTTCTTCGTTCCGAGTTGCCGCATTCTTTCATTTGCTTTACGTACCTCGATGATTTGCTGTATTTTAAGCTTGTTACGCCCAATAATTCATTGGTGCCCAACCGGTAGGGAGCATTACCGCCGCTTCGCTCAAAGGTCTTTCGTTTCCTACTACTACCCGTCCACCAGACCAATGATTTTGTGCGGCCATAGCATACACCATAAGTCATGGATGCTAACTGCTACTTCCAACTACTACACATACCTTCGATTCGCCATCCGCGCTTAGACTTTCGGTGAATCAGTCCATTAACTCAGTGGTTCAATATTGCTGATTGTGAGGAGTGACCATCTGTTCCTATTACAGTATGCCTGTTTGTTCCAAATAAAGTACTCGTGCATATGCAGCTTCATTGTACTTTCGCTAAGTTACTTGCAATTTACAAATTCCTAAAGTGTAGTCGACGTGCCCACTGGCAATTAATTAATTGTCTGCAATCATCGGATCCTAACAACTTGGCATCACTTTGATTGCGTGCAACCAGCACGTTGGGCAATAAACCTATCACTACGATTGTTCGAGAGAAATAACAGTCTGTTCCGCAGAGGTACCTGTAACAACAGCCACAGGCAAGTTGTTAGGTGATGTGCGTTGTTGAAATAACTCTTGCTTTTGTTTGGAAAGCCTGCAGTCTCGGAGCCAAAGCATAACGACACAGTGTAGGCTTCAAGACCAGAGAAGTGCGGTGAAGAGCTGCAGTTTGTTCCCTCCTAATGCCTGCGAACATGTGGTTGTCCCGAGAAGACCGCTCTCTCTGACAGTGGCAGCCGGGCCTGCTCCAGCTCTGTGTAGGTTGGCTTCGCACAAAACAATAGTAGCTTGTTTATTACAATACATACACCCATTTCAGATAATTTTCTTATGTTTGCTGTCTATTAAGAGTGTAAAGGTACAATAGTGTCCTCACTATGTTGCGTCTGTTGAGGTCTTTCAGCACTTCCCCTAGGTAAATCAACTACCCAATCTGAAACCCTCAACTGATACACCACTGACTGCGCGGCTTTGAGATCCACGCCCATGTGATCTTCAAATTCAATCATTTTCCCAATTCCTCCGGCGATGACCATTTGGGGGCCAACAAACTTAAAGTTTACAACGAAAGGTGCACCAGCCCTTCCTACCGTCATATTTTAGCCGTACAAGCGTCCCGGAACCGGCCTCCCTATTCATCAGTCTGCGCCGAACCTAACAAACCCTTCAGGATAAACATCCAGAGTCTCTTTTTTGAAAGTTTTCTTACAAAATGATGACACTGATCTTCGTCTTCACAAGACTTTTTTTATATTAAAGCAAAGCCGTGGGAGGGCAAATAGTCGCTACTGCTATTTCCTCTCTCGTCATACCCTTATTACACATACCGCATCATACTTCGGATGAAGTGCGCATGCGATAAACATTACTACGTAGCCGTGATGTGACTTCGTTCGCTTGACATCGAGACACAGATCCTAATCAGTATTGGAGTTATTTCTTCCACTCTGTTGTGTCATGCTAATCGTCCCACACCAGTGTTACAGGGGGCGGGGGGACGGCTGTCTTACTAGCTTCAAGATACCCACTCCAGATATATATCTAGAGTTGAAAACTACCGTTCCGAATCTCTTAGACATTGGCTAGTGAGCTTATGGAACCAGTAAACGATGAGCTCAAAGCCAACCGGCATGGGGGTTAAATTTTGCCAGCCTGACGACTCAACAGTGCACATTGAGGTGCACATATTATATCTAGCCGAGATTACTCATATCAATTCACAAAACACAGAGGAGCCTATTTCAATCGGAAAACTGAACTGAACTTATTTGCAGCGCCAATCTAAGAGAAACCATGGTGAATTTTGCGCGCATATATAAAAATGGCGCTGGCGCGTATCAGCTTGGAACCGCCACCTCATATAGATCCGACGAAAGCAACTCTCGCGTATGGCAGGCTTGCCATCAAGCGATTAGTGAGTATTTTTGTTAAGTGTTAGCTCCACTGAAGTGTCTCTCTAAATTGAAATGAATAATAATACTTCATTGTACCACACGGGCGTGTTACTACAAATGAAACAAAATTGGGATGTCTGAGTAACTAACACTGTTGCTGATGCTGTAGAGTCATGATTTATGGGTTGTCTAGATTGAGCCTGCAGCAATTGCGATTGCCGTGTGGCAAGCTTAAGTACGTCCTTGACCAGGGATGAATTCGCGTGAATTAGTAAATTAGTAAGCACGCCAATAGTGGCCATTAATTGCCTGTTACACATACAACCGGCGGCTACGGTCAGACAACGTTGCAAACCCAGAAATATTTTTCAGTGCAAACTTGTTGGCTTTAATTCCAAAAAAAAATTAACCTAAACAGCCTGACGAGGCTGTAGCGGACAAGGACCGTATCAGCGTGTCCGAATAAATGAAATGAACAAGCAACAAATACAAGTTCACAAAATCACAATAGGAAAGGAATGAGTAGTCAAATGGGGACTCACAAATGTGTAGGTCCAATAGTCTAGTCCACCGATCCAAATGGTTGTGAGAGGAAATATTCACTTGTCGGAGTTTCCCACAGATGGTTCCGCGTGCGTGATATATTCCACAGTAGGAAAATTATTCACGGTTAAAAAATGTCACAGGTATTTATTGTGACGTTCAACAGTTGACACAGACACAGAGATTTGGTCCCATTGGTTCAGC